AAMAAAAAAACAACCCTGTCCTTCAACAGACTCTGAAGATAGATCTCTCTGCATCCTTTGATATCAGTTAACCAGCAACACACAAAGCTAATGACATGATTACAATTAAACGGGATAAGAAAATAAAAGAGAACTCTGTATCTACTCCAAACTGAAAATATTCTCAAAAGAGCATTTAAATACTGTTATACTAGCTACAAATGACACACATCAAAAAGGCAAAAGCTAAGTGTCATACCAATTTGTACACAAACAGACAAAGGGAAAAGAAACTTAAATTTGGGAAGAAAAAACAGYAGAGAATTATATAAAGAAGTGGACATTTTAAAAAGATTAATATAAAACCTGGTAAAGGTTAAAGAAAATGAAACATGAACGAAGGATGATAAAAATAAGGTGACAATAAAAGAAAAAGGATCTTCACAAGAATGACAGCATATGCAGTCAAACATAGCAGCCACATCAAAAGAAGTTTTGTACCAATTAAAACCTCAAAGCAAGAGAAAAATCAAAAGTTGGATGTGCTACCCTAACATTTCAGAAAGATGATCCAAAGAAATTACAGACTCCAGGAYTGATCTTCAGCAGAACAGTACAAAAAGGACTCAACTAAGTAAATGAGCAAACAGGATTTTTTCCGTCCTCTTCTTTTTGGGAATGTGCACGGAAGAACAGTAAGAGAAGGAAAAGAAAAATCCACAGAAAGATTCAATGAGCTTGAGATGAAAGCAAAATGCTACAGTTAAATGCTGAGATTGCAAGACACCTGAAGACAGAAGCAATGTAAAGCAAAGGTTCTCTAAGGTGCAATCCTTCAGTGACATTTAAAGAAATAACCCAAAGCCTGTCGACTTAAAACCAAACATCACTTTGGGTTCTGAGGCAGTATTTTATCCACAGTGAAGCATCATCCACATATTTTTCAAGTTTATTAAGCATTAAAATATCCTTGCTTTTATTGAAAACAAGGACAGGTGACAGATTGTAATACTAAGTTTGTATGGTTAGTATGTCACTTTGTATCACAGTGAGGAGGTCAAGGATGAAAACAAACATCATTATCAGAAACAATGCTTGGCTCTTTGGGCAGATCAACACCACCAAGAACCTGCCATGCTATACAATACAGAAGCAGCATTTTTTAAACCCTGATATATGCARTGTCCTAAGCTTTCAATACAGAAAATGAGAAGATTTGGGGTTTAGGTGTGAGTTGACAATAATTCTGATTCCAGAGGAAGCCAGTTACCCTCCAAAGGGATTCTTCCAAAAGCACAAAAGAAAGAGCACACTATCAGTACTACCATCCCCAACCCAAGATATGTCCAATCTGTCAACAACAGAATGAATGACTATACAAGATGCTAGGTCAAATGRCAAGAGGAAAATTTATTTATTTGCCTTACTTTCAGAATATCTTGAGTTTCATTCCACTTGTTAGTCCACTCTTTGGTCAGTTCTTGTACCTATAAAAGAAAACAAATATTTTTTAAAAGATCACATCTCTTCCTAAGTTCTTGATAAACGCATTCTCAGAAAATGTGCCACATCTATGTGCCAGGTCTTTTAAACATCTCTAGGGATGGTGACTCAATCACTTCCCTGGGCAGTTTTTTCCCATGCTTGACAACRCTTTCCATTAAGAAATTTTTCCTAGTATCCAATCTAAAACTTTCCTGGTATCCAATCTAAACCGATATTATATCCAAGATATCCTCATCCAGGTAGTATGGTCCCACCACCAACTAAATTAGTAAGATATACATAGAATCCTAAATTGTACTATTTATTTGCTAGCTGAAACTCACAGGTACCTTTATTGCATGCTGCATTTTAAGTTTCATTTTAAGCTACATTTTAAACTGYTGTACTTGGTCTACTAATAGTTTAATTCTGTGTAATATATAATTTACCACAAACCCCTTACTCTGTTATTTTCTTATATCTAATAAGCAATAATTCATTTTGTATTAGACTTTATCAGCTATTATTAAAAAACTAGCAAACGAGACTGGGTCCAGGGGTGCTGGCCGCCCTGATAAGTAACTGCTTAAAAGTTACTTAAAAAAAACCTAAGCAAAAGACAGAAATCTATCTAAATTCCCATCTCCAGTTGTAACAGTTGGTCATGCAGATCTGCCTTTCCTAAACCCATGCTGACAGGGCCTGATTCCCCTGGTTATTCTGTACATGCCGTGTGACTGGACTCAAGATGACCAACTCCATGACTTTCCCCCAAACTGAGGAACAGGCAAATAGAATACTTAGGATTTGTCCTTCCTTTCCTAATCAAACAGTTGTCCACCCCGTAAGTTAATTTTCATACAACACTATTGTACAAAGAAAGAAGTSTTTGATGCAGTTTCTCCAAACATCTCCCCATCTGCCACCTGCAGCTACTTTCCTTGTTGTGGCAGATCAGCTTCAAATTAATGCATGAAAACTAGAGAAATTTCTCTCATCTCTACCTTCATCTCAAGATTTCAACAAAGACATGTGAGCAAACTTTTCAATGCACCCCTATAATTCCTAGTGCAGCTAACTGGAAYATTAAAACAAAATAAATTTCAAAAGATTGAAGAAATACATTAATGAAGTCTATCGCAGGTCCATTCACCCTACCAGTACAATTTGTATCACTCAGGGACCCTTTGTTTTTAATTTAATTTTTTAAAATTAAACATTTTTAAATTAAACAGCTCAAAATTATTCTTGTATTAGGAAAACCAACTCATTAAAGAAAATCACCATATACTTGTTGAAAGGAATGAGAGGGAGATGTCTTTAYRAACAAGCTATGGGGTCTGCTGRTAKMTAAGGCCAGATACCWACAGGTGAAAGGAGCAATGGGAGGAACCATAAATTCCASAGGAAYTCCACCAATTGACACAGGCAGTGCTAAATCCCTTAGAGATTTAGAGACAARGAACAGAGACACARAGAATAAGAAAGGGGGGATGTATATTAGATGGGGRTCTGTATTAGGCARTTTGGCAAGTCTCAAGTACCTCAGCCAATGGGGAAAGAGAGAGGGAAATGGGGCCRAGAAATTAGGATAAAAAGGAGGCTGCATCCTCTAACAATTTGAGAGAYCCCATGGAAATGTSCCATGGCCTCTCCCTTTATTCGAAWAAAGTTACRRGACTCCTGTCTCCTTTTTGRACCKCTGSTGTTTTGTGGATTAAGTTTCCTAACATCGTCAAGCAATATAAATATAGTGATAAAGCCTTTAAATCTATATAAACACATTAGTTATTKCACTCAATTATAAAAAAGCTATAASCACTGCAATATCTACCACAAATTTTCAGTAATTATGTCTATAGTMATTATCACAAATAGTAATCACCATTTAATAAGGCTGACAAAGGTAATAAAATATGCTTGTATACACCCCACACAGCAGGGCCAACACTTGTGAGCAGGATAAGCAGTGGTTACTGTCAGAGCATGAATAAAGCACTCTAATTAGCCTACAATCAGCAATTTATATAACTCAGCTACTCATAGAAAAAAGCTTTTTGCTTATACCCAAAAATAAACCTAAAAATATAAAAAAATAGGATTTTTAAAGCAAGACATTAATTTTCTAATTCTAAAGGTCCAAGCAGCACCCCTGTAAAACCTACCTTTCAAATCAGCTAAACTGCCCCCGTTTTTAAAGGCATCATATCTACATTTGATTGGCATCTTTTGACAGTATTCAGAACTAAATATTTTCTACCATGCAGCTAAATAATTCCTAATAATTCCCTCTTGCCTCTTCCAAAGTATGAGTATTACTCTTTCTTTAAAACAATTTGCAGCAGCTTCTAAAGCAAGCAAATACATAGAAAAGAATTAACAAARAATGATACAATAAAGAATGAAAAATTACTAGTCAGAGAAATGATACTACCACTATATCTACATTCTTTTGGATGCTGTAAGTTATCTAAACTCTCTGGAAATTTTTTTCCAGCCTCTACACTMAGCTGGATTATTGAAATAACTTGGTGAGAAGCACAATGTGAAGTACATCTAGATCTCAGACCCTCCCYGCAAAAGATAGCTAATTAGGCACTGAACATATTTGTACACACCAGATTCAAACACTGACATTTTCTAAAAACCTATCCCACAAGTTATTAATTTCTTGAAAGCATAAAAGAGTTGACTGTTCTCTCCATAAATCTTCTGCTGTTTTTTCCACACACTGAATATTTTGTTACTCTGATTACTTTCTGCTCATTGCTGTGATTTAGWGGCTTTTCCCTCTCTAGTCTATTTACAAAGATACTTTTGTAGTATCAGACAAGCTGTCAGGGAACAAATCTTTTCATTAAACAGAATGGTTACATAAATAGCAAAGAAATATTTTTATCTCAGTTATAATGCCATCTTAAATTAGCAGGATAACAAAATTACAAATTCACAAACTTTTTTTTAAACATCAAGGCAATGCTGCTGGTGGAACAAAATTTAGTTGTGCATTAAAAACATCCTGAAAATTATGAACACTCTTGCATCCAGACCAACCACCTTTCCTTTTCTTTGACATTTAAAAGCTGCCTTATGAAATTATAACTCACCCTTGCTTCATTCTGCTGAAGCTTTTCTTCCATACTTAAAGCTGTCGGAGAATCCAAGAGTGCAATCTAAAATTGTAAAAAGTAAACATCAATTTAAAAAAAAGACAGTAACAATTTCTGGGGGAATCAAACAAAATGTAATAGTTCAACTTTTAGGATTCTATCGCATAAAGTCCTTTAAACTTCAATACATATAATTTTACCTTGAAATGCTGTACACAGAATAATCAAAATCTTGTCAATTGGTTTGAGAGTGCTGTTTTCACTCGCTACATACACATGGTCACATACATGCAGACACCAAAACCAGACACATTTGAAACAGCTAACTCCTGATACAGCTTTGTTTATACTTCTGCTAAACATGAAAATTTATGATGCATGAATAGTTCACAATTTTGCTTTAATACATATTTAAAGTGCTTATCTAAGTTAATTGGCCTTAAAAGACAAAAATTACTAAACAACACAAACACACAAGTAGTACTCATTGTAGGTGACTTTCTACACTGAATCCAGCACCATATATTGATAATCAGTATCTTCAGATCTACAGAAGCATTTACAATACTTCCGTTTTGGTAATACCAAGGAAAACCACAAAAGAAATTAGACAGAGATTTATACTACTGTGCATACATAAAATAYCACCTGCTGTCTTACAACCATCACAAATTCAATTAACTTAAGCAAGTTCTCTATCATATCCCACACAGCTATCTACCACCATCCTACCACTGAACCAGATTTATTTTCAATATCCACTATTTTACATGTTGAAACTAGGTCAAAGCATTCAAACTTCAAGGGGTTTACATCTACTTTGCTTACTCTAAAGCAAAGCAGACCATGATYTGAAAATAATTTCCCACCCCAAAAGAATATGAAAGAAACACAAGTAATTCAACCCGATAGATTTCTAATTGTAACAAAGTAGAGCTCTCTGCTTCAATCATCTACAATATCCATTTCTGCTTCTAACAGTGGTCCCATCCTTTTTCAGCAAAATTTTTACAGCATGAAATCCAGCTGCAGTCTTACCCTTCTACTAACAACAGACCATACTGAACTGACATCTCACATTGCACAGCCCACCAAAAATAGAATTRCATAGTTCTAGAAACAAACCTGAAGTATTACTTCAGATACTTYCAAATTATATTTGCTCAAGTATGAMATCTAGCAATYCTGAATGACATGTAGAAGAGACAACTGCCTGAGCCAATTAGACATTCCTTATTGTTACCTTGGTTACACCATCCTGGGAACACAGGAGAAACTAAACTTAATTGAGCCTGTGCAGCAAATGTTTGCAGCAGATTATACTGACAGAGCAAGAAAGAGAATCATGCAAAAGTGAAGCAAAACATGACTTTTGTTTTTGTACATCACCACTGAAAAGATTGCTATATATTTGTTATCTGCCTTCCAATGTACTATGCAGCCAAACAAAATGTATTGTTTAAATCCATTCATACTCCTATGTTTTTATATTTATGCATCTAAAATACTTTCAACCTTCTCCTTATTTTAAGATACTACACAAAGTAMCTCTTCAGTCATCAGGCTAGACCCAGAAGGTATATTTCAGCTCAGACTCCTAATGCTGTGTTGACYACCTGTCCCACAGTACACTGCAATCCATCTTGGATTATATTACAAGAAATCTAAAAGCTTTGGGATAACATTTTTTTCCCCCTTGTGTTAAAAGAGGTAATACACTGGCCATATGGAAACTGATCCAATCAGGAAGCTAATACTCATTCCTAAAGCYTGTTCACTCAAATCAATATAATGAAAGATAATTATCTCATTACATTCCAGAAATAGATGTTATAACTCCAGAAAATATACGCATTAATTCCAAGTAAAGCYAACCTGATTCCCTTGAGCAAGCAGGGTTTTTAATCGGGCTATTTCAGCTCTCAGCTCACGGATCAGTTTGACGTTAGGATCCTCATTAATAGTAGGCTTGTTGATGATGTTTTTGGCTCTGTTTGCATAGCGAAGTGTACTCAAAGTTTCTCCATAATTGACATCAGCAGGTGAAATAGCTAAGGATATGAAATCAGAAACAGTTTATCTAGCACTGTAGGTTTCATTTACTGAAGTTAGTTTATMTTTTTAAACTCAGATAAACTCAATGTGAGCAAAGAGACAGAAACAYATCATTWACCAGTAYGGATACAATTTGTTCCAACTCTTCACYRGACTCCACTTTCATATATAATTTGCATAAGTAAACACTGCATGAGAATAGTGTATTAACCTAATCAGGTCTAACAATCAAGTGTTGCAAAGAAATCTTGCTGTCAATCTATTTAACATGTACATTTCCCCAGCAAGCATAAATGTTATATACAAATACTTCACAGGCTTTCTTGTAATTTTTTACAAGAAYAGTGGGGAAAACAGTAAGTATTTTTTAAGTACCAGTGTAATCATTGAACAGAAAAGACACTCCATGTAAAACACAGTAGRGAAATTAAACAGCATTAAAACAAGAAAACAGACATGAGAACCAAAACAAGAGAAGAGCTTCTATAATTTACAAACCTAGCTGTTCTCCTGAGCTACAGGCATTTGGTAGCACAGAACTGTCAGCTATCTGATGCATCAAGAAAAACCAGTATTATTTTTACAAGCAACCTAACTAGGAAAAGCAATGCAATCTAAATATAAGTGTTAATGCTATCCTTCCCTTAATTTTTTTAACAATATACATGATGTTCTAAATCAAAATGATAATTAAGGCATCCAAACAGGTAAGCAAAATCACAGAAGAGAAAACCATCCAGAAATCATAATGGTTAAACTTAGGAACAAGAGATCAGACAATGAAAACACCTGAAAAACTAATTTAGCAACTAAAAAAAAATCTGTCCTTTCTCATTCTCTCAAAAACAATAAATATTCTTTTTGTGGCAGAGACTCTCTGAACTATAGGAGATGCACTTGGAAACAACCTATACTTCCCCTCGCTCCCACTCTAACTTCCCTGCTTTATCTACTATCTCCTCKCCACTGTTCAATTATTCTCCTTCTAGAAGGGTGTTACCATACATTACAGAAATATGACAAATAAAAATCAGATATATTTTTCTAACAGCCTTTCCTACAGTTTAAAGTCATCTTCCTGCATTTTTTTGTGCTTAGTTACAGAAAAGGCAGGCCAAATGTAAYTGGACAGCTTGTCAGGCTCTGTTAGGGAATTCTACCACATTACCAGYAGAGTTACTGTTGGAGAAAAGATGAACCATCAGGGCTCTGGCTAGCAGAAGCATCACTAATAGATGAGGAAGTAGCTGGAAAAGAAGCTGGGTACTATAATCATTAGCATAGGCACTGAGAGCTCACTGTGTTTCTACAACT